TTTCTTTTGCATTTGTATATAGCTTGCATGTTTCAATTTATATAGTCTAGAAGTAGAGATTTCTCCCTAAGGGTGAGGCGTTGGTTTAGTCTATATTCCGCCGCCTCTCTCTCTAAGGATTCATGAGACTTCATCTACTATCTAAGACTCATTGTTGAATTATGGATCCTTCCAATGAGGACGTGATATAATGGCCATCTTGAATCGATTGTTAAAAGGGGAAACCCTATGGTTCTCCATCTTTATTTATGCTTAATGCTTGTTGCTAGAGTAGCTAACTAGTGACTTGATTTTAGGTTGATATACTCTCCAAAAGCTTGTTATATCTCCGGACACAATATTTGATGGGCAAATCGTTTTAGGCTACGAAAGTATACCTAAAGAGTTTTGTGAACAATCATTACTTGGATGTAATGCATGTCTCACTCTACAATGTCCAACGAAAGCTGAGCCCATTGGTTTAAGAGACATAGGGGATTGGAACCACGAAAGTGGAATAATCCTTCCTTAGTGTTTTGAGTTCAAAAGAATCGGATTTTAACAAACTTTTCAATCGACTTGGCTCATGTTTTCAAAAGAGTTTTCAGTAGTTCAATAATGTTGCTTGTATAGAATTTTATTGTTATTTGCTTTTGCGTGTTCTAAACAAACACAAACCCTTGCATCTTTTGATTTAGCTTAGTCATTTGAACTCTATGATTGTGTAATGTGTGAAATCCAATCCCTTGTGGTTCGACCCCTAAATACTACAATTATATGTTGTGCACTTGCAACACTAGTTGTCTTAGGGAATTATCACTTGTACTCATCCCTTAAATGCAGCGATCAGCTTGCCCTCAAGCAAACAAATAGAACAAGAAAGAGATGAGGTTTGAAAATAAGCTGATTCAACACTTAAAAACATGTCCTCAAAAGCGATTTGCTAAATGTCCAACTTAGAGATTCTAGAATGCAACAAGGTGAGAGATATTCATTAAGATTTAACCATGCTTATCAACATCAATCCCACTTCACAGTCACTCAAACAATGCATTCAAATCAGCAAATCCCTTTAACATTCATTAAGCAAAAACAGTGAACCAAAAACATGCAAGATCAATCAACTCATTTGGTTTCAAGGGTTTATGGGTTAAGAGACAAAGAGGGTCTCTTTTGTATGGTGGTTTAGTAACAGGGATCTCTCAAGAAAGTGGCTTTGCTTTGGCAGAAGGCTAAGTGTTAGAACCAAAGATGATGCAAGAACAGCAGCTCGAGCCGCCTAATCCTAACTCGATCGAGTTCAACACTTAGAGCTTTTTAGAACAAAATCCTAACTACCCTTTTTGGCATTTCGCCTTTGAAACTGAGGAGCTTTGCTCACTTTTCTTTTAAGAACTTCCTAGGGAGAGGCTTCTTGAGGTAACATCTAGCGGTTTGGGATTTTCTAAACACTTAGGGAACTTTTCTTTCCTTTTTGACACTTGAGGCTTTGCCTTCTTTTCATTCTACTTAGAACCCTTTTTACTTCCTTTTTTAACTTCCCAAACCTTTACTAGACCCTTTTTAACACTGCCAACTCCCTGGACTTAACTAAACTCTTTTTCCTTTGGGTTTTTCCCAACTTTTACCACTTTTCTGGTTTTTACACCCAACTCGATCGAGCTCGAGTTGGCACCCCCAAACTTAGCCTGAAAACAATCCCAAGAGAACTAGACAACTAGAACTACTGCCCCTGCCGGTTTAAACACAACACCTTATGCTAAGCAAAGCCAAGAAAGGTTCTCACATTCGCACAAGAGATAATATGGGGTTTGAAATGAAAAGGCTTAGGTTTAAGGTGTGGTAACTGTCTCAAAGGATAGAGATCAGCTATCTGGACAAGCAAAAGGGATATGAAAATAGGTAAAGAATGTCCAGATATGTATGTGGTAGCCATGAGTTGAAATCAAATGCAAGCATTGGTAATTAAAGATCAAGTTATGGTTCAAATAGATAGGGAAATGCATCAAATCACAGCAATGGTTGAATGAGATGTGCATGCAGTGATATGATCAAGATAAACATGGTTCTTGCTGCTCAATCAATCTCACCCTAATGCACAAAGAATCTAAAAACAGGGCACTCAAGAAATCGCAAAAGATGGACAAGTTTTCAAAGTCAAATCAACAATGCAAGTGAAAATGCAATCCTAAACAAGTCTAACAAATATGAATGCAAAAAGATGAAAATATTTTTGGATTTTTTGAAAATTTTATGATTTTTTTGGTTTTTCTATGCAATAAATGAAAAACTAAGAACAAAGAAAACAAGGTTAAATCATCTCTTGAACCCTCCCCCAAACTTAAATCACACAGTCCCTTGTGTGAGAAAAATTTAGTGAAAGATTCAAGAGGGCAAAACCAAGAAAAACAAGAACAAATGCAAGAAAATATGAAATGGTATATACAAGGGTTGGTGTTTGGATACCTCAGTGCCCCCCAAAGAACTGGGAGACTAGGTCGTGGTCTGGAGATGGTAGACGGCCATCAGGAGCACTCCACTCGACTGGGTTCGGCTCACTCGATCGAGCTTGCGGCTCCTCTTCTTCCTCTTCTTCATCTTCAAAGTGGTGTGGCTCCTTGGCCTTGGTGGAGCTGGCTTGCTCGAACTGTCCATAGGGGTCCATCTCTGAGGAAGTCCTGGTAGGCTGGATCGTACTCAAATCCCGGATCCTCAAACTGGGGCTCCTCCAGGTCAACTCGACCCTCAGCTCGATCGAGTTGAGTTTCCTCTGTTTGGACTCGATCGAGTCCGGTGGTCGAGCTGGAGCGTCTGGCCTTAGAGTCTTCCTCCTTCTCTGCGTGTTGTCTTCTCCTTCCCTTGGCTCGAAAGAAGAGGCTCTGTGAGGCTCTTGGGCAGGGAGCCTCCTTGGAGTGGTGAGGAGTGATCTACTCCTAAGGAATGTGGGCTTGGGGCCTTCTTCTTCTTGCTTGAAGAACCAGAAACCTTCTTCTCCAAACTTTGATCTTGCTCACCATCTTGTCCATGGACTTTTGCATCTTTCATGGCTTTCCCTTGCCATTTGTTGAACTTTTGGAGAAGTCCAATCCTCTTGTGGGCAGCCACAACAGAGGGGTTCATCCTTGGAGCCTCATACTCCTCAAAGTAATAGCACTCAGGCTCACCCAAATCCGCACTCTCCTGGACTGATCTCAGCTCGATCCTCAGCTCGACTCAGCTCGATCGAGCTCAGGCTCCTCTTCTCGCAAATCATCCTCATGCCCAACTAATGTGTACACAGGGGGTCTGAAGTCAATGTTCTCACCCCTACTACTGTGGTGAGCTCTGGGTTGGGCAGGAGAAGCTTGGAGGTCCAGCCAATGGATGTGTGAACTTGAATTGGAACCTCCCATCCAACTCCTTGTGCTCAATGAGAAGGTTGGTCTTGCAAAACTTGATGTCCATCCAACCTGGTTCAGTGGCTTCTCTTATCAGTTGGGTTCACTCCAGCAGCACACAAGATAGGTGTGATGAGCCCTCCAACACTTAGCCTCCCTCGTTGATGCCTAGTGTTGTAGGCTGTGATCTTGTAGGTGAGAGATGTCAAGGAAGGCATCAAGTTCCCTGTGTGATCTATCTCCCTCTGATCCTCTTGCCATCGCTTGTGCGTGAGAGATGGGCTTGATTCCCATGTCAAGAAACTTGAGTTCCCCCTCGTTGATTGTCCCGGTGGCCTTCCTTGCAAAGAAGGTGTTGGCAAGTGCCTTGTGCACATACCTCAAGCACTGGGCTCCTGATCTGAGCAGCCTTGGACCTTGAGGAAGAGTACTCCATCAGCGATTGTAGCCCAAACCCTTTGGAGTTCCTTTCCTTGAAGTTCCACTTGGTACCTTCTCCATAGTTGAACCCAAACAAGATCTCAAGCTGCCTAAAGGTCACCATTTCTTCTCTCCCTTAGCCAAGAACGTGATCCATCCCAATCCTTGGTCCAAATCAGCTCTATCTTCCTCATCATACATGTGGTACCTCATTGAAGCTAAGAACTCACAAGTGAGCTCCTTGTAGGATTCCATGTAAGAGAAGAACTTGGCCAAGTGCATGTTCTTGAGAACCAACTCCACATCCTCAAAGATTCCAAGGGCCTTCATTGTGTCAACATGTGGGTACTTGGTCTCCACAAAGTCCATGGAGAAGAGAGCATTGTAGTGCTCTTGGTACATGGGGAGCTCTCCTCCTCTTCCTCTGCTCAGCCTCCTCCATGGTTCATCTTGGTTACTCTTGCTCACTTCTCAACCAATTGATTCACCTCTTCTCCTTCCTCTTCACTCTCAGTCTCATCACTCCTTCTTCACTTGGAGACCATTTCCCTCCTCTTGAACAAGGTTCACTCCAATCTCAAACTCCCCTTGCTCACTCTCACTACTAATGGGTCATTCCTCTTCTTGGTTCTCCTTCTCCTCCCTCAATCTCTCGCTCTCAGACTTCCTCAGAGTAGACATACTCCTCTGCATCAGACTCTTCCATCCTTGATCATCCTCTCAAATCGGCTTGCATCTTAAGCCTTCTTTCCCTTGCATTGCTTGATTCACCCTCAACCATTCTCCTCTGTGAAGCACGCTTCCCTCACTGTTTGTCATCTTGTTACACTGTTTCTTCACTAAAGTACCTGAAATGCATCAAAGATTACAAAGAATTAGAGTTGTAATGATCGGTTTGGTCAACTCGACACTCAGCTCGATCGAGTCAAAAAACTCGAGTGACAAACTCGATCGAGCTAGGTGAAAACAGAGTATAACCGAACCTAATTCAAGTATTAAGAGCTGGAAAGGATGCTAATCAATCAAATTGAACCAAGAACAACTAGTAAATGGAACAATGAGCAATTCTAGTGAAGCACTAAGCATCTTAACCAATACCAAACTCAAATTCAATTTTCAAGCACATGCAACAAGTTCTAATGGCAAAACAGAGGTGAGGTGAGCAAATTCACTAACAAATATAAGCAGGAGAAATATGAAAGCAATTACTCAAGAACAAGTCCACAAGGGACACATGCAATCAAAAATCAAAGAGAAACAAGCAATAGGAAATCGAGATGGAGGAATCAAGGGTTTAGGGTTCATACCTTGCTTGAATGATGAATTGAAGAGCAGTAAACAAAACAAGCAAAACAAGATGAAGAACAAGGAAATCGCAAAAACTTAAGAGAGAGAGATTGAAATCGATTTTTCTTGTGGTGAAGAGAGAGAGGATGAGTTTCAGAAATTTTAAGAGTGTGAGAGAGAGTGGATTCGATCGAGTTATGGGGAAGAGGGAGTGTTTGAGATGTGTGGTTGAGATTAAAAGATGAAATAAAGGGGGAACAAAAGCTAGGGATTTTCTGATCAAATTAGGGTAGTGGGGGACCAAAATCAGCTTGTGGGACCCACTCCCTTGACCAAGAAAACGGTTATGAATTTGAAATTCAAAAACTTACCTCGGTCGAGTTTGGAACTCGATCGAGTTGCCCTGGTTTCTAGCTCGATCGAGCTGTCGGTCGAGCTGGCTCCTTTGACACCTAAACTTAACTTATTGAAAGGTTAAAAACATAAAGATAGATAGAAATTGCATAAATAGAATATGTACAAGGATAAACATGGGACTTCCTCCCAAGTGAGCTTGTTTAAGGTCCCATAGCTTGACCTTTACCTTCTTAGGCATTGGTTGAGCTAGTCCCACCATCAAGGGTGATAGTGAGGACTTGAGACAGAAGCTCCTTTAGCTTGGTTGGGTCCCTGGACTGTTCTGAAGTCACCAAGGCCTTGGCTCTAGAGAATGGCCTTGATCTCCCCTTGTACCTTATCTTGTACTCAATCTTCCCATTTTCAAACTTGGTGGGGAACAAAGTCATTGTGAGCTGAGATGGCTTGATGAAGGGGCCTGAGCTGGTGGATCCTTTCTTTTATCCCTGGTCTTGCCTTAGAGGCTGCATCCTCCCCTTCTTTTAGAGCCCTTCCTAGTGGCTCATCAAACAAAGCTTGAAGGCTCTCTTCATCAAGCACACAAGGGGCTTGAACAAGTCTATCAGCTCGTGGCCTATCAGACGTGGTTTCTCAACTCTAGCCCTCTCAAGACGTGGCTTCTCAATCCTTGGTCCTCTCTCATCCTTATCCTTCCCAACTCTTGGTTCCTTGTCAACCCTTTCCTTCACAACCTTTGTAGCTCCATGACTCTTAGAACTGAGAGTGGTACTGTCAATTGTGGCACAAAAGTCTGAACCTCTAGGCTGCAAGCGATATGACACCAAACTATTCACCTTGTGAAGGATCACTTCTTGCTTGTGAAAGTCTATTGAAGCGCCAACTGTACTAAGGAAAGGGGTTCCCAATAACAGGCAAATCCTTCTCTTCTTCCATTTCCATCACAGTGAGATCAGTTTGGATGATGCATTCTCCAATTTTCAAGTGATAGTTCTTGAACACTCCAAGAGGAGACTTAGAAGTTGCATCTCCAAACATGATTGAAGTAGTAGGGCGCTGCAAGGCTCCAGCAATGCCTAGCTTCTCTGCCATGGAGAGAGAGATCAGATTGATGCTTGCTCCAGAATCCACTAAGGCATTGTCAATCTCAAGATGCCCAAGTGTGCAAGGGAGAGTGAATTTCCCTTGATCCTTGACCTTTGGTAGGAAGGTGGGTGAAGTAAGCAGGTTGAACTGATGAGTAGACTCTTGTAGGACCTCTGAAACTTTATCACTGTTGGCTAGAACATCCTTGACCATTTGCATTTGATCAAATGCCTCACTCATGCTATCCATAGAGGCAACTCAATTCCAATCCCACTGAGATCTCTTCTGAACTTGTGAATCACTTCCTTGTGACCTTGACTAAGTAGGCGAGACGAGGAAGCGGCAACCGGTTGTAAGGATCAAGCAAAACAGGTTGGGACAGAAGAGGTCGGACTCGATCGAGCTAGAGTTGGACTCGATCGAGCTGCCGATCGAGCTTGTCGTGCGAGCTCAACTGGTGAAGTGTGAATGGCCACAGTAGGTGCCTGCACTTCTGGTTGATCAATCTGGACTCCAGGAGCCTCAGCAGCAACAATCTCTTCATCATTCAGCAGTAAACAAAAATCTTCAATGACCCTTTCTTGATCCTCTTCTTCAACAAGTCCTTCTTGAGTGAAGATGACCTTGCACTGTTCCTTGGGGTTCTGAATAGCTTTACCAGGTAGTTGTCCTTGCTTTGTAGCAGCAGCAACAGAAGAAGCATGATTCTCCAGAGAGTAAACCCTTGTGTTGAGGTTCTCGATCTTAGAGTTTATTTCAGCTAGCTTCTTGCTTGTGTCCACTACCCCATCAGCTTGCCCTTGAAGTAGTTGCTTTAGCATTGCCTTGAGCTCATTCTCTTGTGAAGGTGCAGGCTGGGGCGGTTGGTGGGGGAAGCCTGGTGGGATATTCATTTGTTGTCCAGGGAAAGTGCCTTGTGGTCCTTGGTAATTGTTCTTTTGACCATACCCATGTTGTGGCACCTGACTCGATCGAGCTGCTTGTTGTTGAGGATATACTTGGTCCTGAGGGTTAGCAACATCAGTGTTGCGGTATGACATGGCAGGGTTGGACTTGTAATTATAGTATCCTTTGTTGTAACCTCCTTGCCCATTGCTCATGTAGCACACCTCAGCAAATTGTGTATCCTCCCCTTCTTGGACTGGTTCCATCTCCTCAGCAGACACAAAGTTGACTTTCTTCATTGTGGACTGAGCTAGGATCAGCTTATCCAACTTCTCATTCAATGCCTTAACATCTTTTCTCAACTTTTCGTCTGACTCGATCGAGTGGTGGGTCGAGCTCCGGTTGGTGCGATCATACTCTTCTCCATAGCTTCCATTTGAGTTAGCTATGTTCTCCACAAGTTGCCAGCCATCATCTACATCCTGGTTGAGGAAGTTCCCATTGCTAGCTGTGTCTAGCATCTCCCTATACCTAGGCAAGCATCCTCTATAAAGAGTGGAGAGTAGTGATTCATTGTTGAATCCATGGTGTGGGCACTGACTTGTGTAGCCTTTGAACCTCTCCCAAGCCTCTGCGAATGTCTCATTGTTTCGCTGGATGAAGCTGGATATCTCTCCTCTAAGCTTGGCTGTGCGACCGGTGGAGAAAAACTTAGCAAGAAAGGCCTTCTTGCATTCATCCCAAGTGGTGATTGTGCCATGGGGCAAGCTCTTCTCCCATTGGTGAGCTTTGTCAGCTAGAGACATAGGAAAGAGTCTCAGCTTGATGGCATCTTCAGAGACACCATTGATCTTTGTCAAATCACAAAGCCTATCAAACTCATCAAGGTGGTCAATGGGGTCTTCACTTGGCAATCCATGGAACATCTTGTTCTGGACAAGGTTGATCATTCCCAGCTTGATCTCAAAGTTGTGGTTCTGCACTGGTGGTGGAACAATCCCTTGTCTCTGTTGGTGGCGGTTTGGAGCATCTCCTTGACCAATCGGTCGAGTTTGCCTAGCTCGACCGAGTCCATTCCCAAAGGGTTTCCATTCCCCTCTGGTACATCCATTGTATCAGCAACAAGCACCTCAGGTTCCTCTTGTACCCTCTGTGACCTCTGAACCCTCTTTCTACCCGTTGTAAAGTCTAGCTCGACCAAGTCTCAGTAGACCGACTCGATCGAGTTCGCATACACCTGCAAAAAGAGACAAAAACCCAGCAGTACAATAGAACAGGGGTGGTATAGCTTGATCGTCCAAGTGTGTTTGAAACTCAAATGCAACAAAAATATTCCCAAATCGGCAACGGCGCCAAATTGATGATAGGATTTGTGTGTGGATGTGAAAAGATATGAAATGAGATGGTGGAATGCAACAGTGGTATATGATGAGGTGGTAAGATGCAAACACAAACACAGTCAACAATTCCCTTTAACCATCATAGTTGAGTAGTACAAAGGGTTATCAATCCAAAATGGGAAACTTGTCACTCTATGAGAATATGAAACAACCAGGAAGTCAAGCAAGCAGTAATAGATTTGAAGTAACACTAACAACCTAAATGAAAAGAAATGAAATGCAAAAGTAAACAAAGCAGTAACAACAGCTCGACCAAGACTCGAGTCGAGTGGAACAGAGTACCAGCTCGATCGAGTTTAGGGACGAGTTGAGAAAACAAAGCTAAAGGTGACGACTTTAACAAGATAAGAGAGAATTAGGGTTCAAGACAGGGTTTTGCAATCAAAGGAATCTACACTTAATCAATCTAGCTCTTAAAACTCCTTGTATCAAGGCTTCTCTTGATATTGGGCTTCTCAATGCCTAGCCAACCCTTTCCCAAGGTGAAGGCTATCAACCAAGGAATGATCTCAGAAACAGGGGGTTAGCCAGTGAGAATCAAACCTTGGAGGCTATAGGATCATTGCCCAAACTAATCCATCCAACCCCTTAGACCTCTATTTCTAGAGCAAGAGATATTGGAGCTCTTAGTGGATCTTTTCCAGCGAATGCCATCACTTTCGTGTGGGGATCGCCTAAGGACTTACAAGCCAGGGGTAGTGGTCATGTAGCCTTAAGATCTATCCAAAAGAGAGAGAATCTAGATTAAGACCATAAGCTAGAAGGATTAAGCATATGAAACCTCTAATCTATCCCATCTCAAACCCTAATGGGTAACTACTCACTACACATGAATGTAAACACAAGCAAATGCAATAAAAGAGACATCATAAGAAAGAGGAGATGAAATTAAACAACTTTTATTGAAATAAGCAAGTGCAAATACAAAGAGATTATCCAGGATCTAGGATTCAAGAAGCAAGAGCTTCAAGAACACAAAGATGGGATTAGAGCTCTAAAAAGTAAAAGACAATAAATTAAAAGAAACTAAAACAAAATAATCTAAAGCTTGGTGGTTTTTTCGTGGCTTAGAGCCTTTAAATACAAGAGGATTAGGTTTAGGGTCAAAGGAAAGTCAAGGGGGAAGCAACATTTTTCGGGTTTGACTGTTGACTTCTCAGCTCGATCGAGTTGAAGCTTGGCCGGTCGAGTTGAGGAACTCGACCGGTTGGTCGAGTAGACGGTCGAGCTGGTCTTCAAGATGGCTTCTCCCTTCTTCCTTTGCGTATCCAGTTGAGCTGCGTCCATGTGCCAAGTCCCTCCATGCTCCTCATGTCCCATATGCTCCAGAATGCTCCAAAAGACCTATTTCAAAGGACCAAACATGCATATGTATGCAAATGCAACCTAAAACTAACATGAATGCATAAGAAGAGAAAAGGAACAAGATATGATGCAAATGGAGCTAAAACTATGCAAAAGATGCATAAAAGATGTGCTAAAACTATGTAAAATGCAAGTACATCAATGTCCCACCACCACGCCCAAGCTATTCACAACACCATCCATCATCACCAGACATAAACAAGACACCACTTTTCCCAAGGGAGAGCTATCAAGCTGCGCGCCAAACCAAGATTGAAGAGATGCTTCAAGAGTACTTGAGAAATCAAGAAGAGAGTACAAAGAAGATGGAGAGAAGAATCGATTTCATCCATGAGAGCCTTGGAAACAAATCTGAAGTCCTATTCAAGCAAGTGATCAAGCTTGATGAAGACATTAAGAAGTTAAGAGAGGATCATGATCGATCTCTGACCCTAGTTAAGCTTGATGTTGCTTCCAAATATCAAGAGTTGCTGAACAAGAGCATGAGAATTGAAGATACTAGCTATGGCAATAGCAAACATCTTGGATCGATCTACAACCGCCTACAAGCCCTTGAAGGATCATCTCATGCCAATTACAAGAGAGAGAGGAGTCCAACACCCAACCACCCTCCCTTTTCATTGCAATGCCATCACAAGAAGAAGCACTAACTCAAGTCCATGAGGACAATGAAGAAGAAGAAAGAGAGTATGAGGAACAACTGAATGATGAAGATGAAGAGCAGAGCATCGACATCAATGCTTCCCCAAAACAGAGCAGGATACACCTAGCCCTATTGACCCTCGTTTCTCACCAACACCAAGAAGTCAAGCTTCTACACTTCCAAGACTGGAAGCAATGCAAAGACCATCACCACCTACTGAAGAAGAAGATACTTGGCAATATGATCCCATTGATCCCAACAAGATAAGCCCCATGAAGCTTAAGAGTTCAATGCTAAGGTGAAATCACTTCCATTCTATGTCACTTTTGAAGAAGCTTGGGATAAACATGGTCTAGTGGAGTTCTTTTTCACAACTAGTGAAAACAAAGAAGAATACACCAACTTTTTCAGAAGGCACGATTTCCCCTTGCCCCTCATGCAGTCAATCAACCATCATCACCACCATCTTCACCACCACCCCAGTGGTATGTCAATTCCATATCAAGAGAGAAGCTTGCTGAGTTCAATCAGTTTGTCCAAACTCTTCCAGCCAGCATGTCCTTCCAACAAGCTTGGCGCCACTACCCATTCACCACCTTCTTCCACAACTGCAGAGAGACACCTGAGGACATCAAAGAGCTTTTTGAGAAAGCTAAAGTTCAGCCTACCTTCAAGACCCTCTACAAGATTGAAGACCCAGGTCAATTCTCTATTCCCTGTCAAGTAAATGGTCATTACTTTGATAGAACACTATGCGATTCTGGCTCTTGCATAAACCTCATGCCAACCCAAACCGCCAAACTCCTTGGCATCACACGCTTGCAACCTGCTCAAGGTCACAAGGAGACAAGAACTAAAAGACTATGTCTCAGGCCGTGCCCTTACCCCATCTCCAACTAAGAGATCCTATCAGTCAAGCTAATGACTAAAAAGAAGCGCTGCATGGGAGGCAACCCATGAAAGGTGTTTTTCTTTACTTTTCTTTTCAATTAGTTTTAGTTAATGTCTAGTTTTGTTTTGAGTTTTGGATACAGGAATCTAAGAACCACACAATGGTAAAGAAGATATACCACAAAGAAGAATGTCATAGTTGGCGTGACTTTGATGGCCGAGCAGAACCTCTCCAAGCTCGCCCATGTCCTCTCAAGCCGCACAACACACCATCCCATCTCATTCCATCTGCATCTCACCCATCCCACCTCACCACACTTGCATTCCATCTCTACCATCATTCCACTGCATAAACCATTCTTCAAGTAACACAAAATCAGGTTACATCTTTCTTTTTACATTCACAACCACTTTATTACCTCTTTCTTTAACTCCCTTAATTGGATTTTCTTTCACCGGGACGGTGCAAGTTAAGTCTGGGGGGATTGTCGGTACTAATGTGTTTGTTCATGGTTGTTTTGATCTTATAACCGGTTTTTCCTTACCCACTTTTTCAAAACTTCTGTTTTATTGAGTCAAAACCAGTCCAGGAACAATGAACTTGCTTTGAGATTTGATAGTGTTATGCTAACAATCTATGACCCTAGAGCAAACATCAGCTGAAGGCACAAGCCTAACAGAAGCTCCTAGAGTGGATCGGCATGCTAGCTCAGCGAAATTTCTAAGGTAACCAAGCAATCTAGAGTTAACCTCACCCTTAATCAATCTTAATAACTCTTGTCAAGGGGATTGGCATACATGTCGACAGTTCCTTGCTTGATTTTCAATGAGATTTGTCTAAAGAGTTCTCCTCTCTCTCCCATCCCAAATGGTAAGTAACGATTATGAGAAAAGCTCAAAGAGCACAAGGAAAACAAGTAAGCATGAGGAATGCATATGTCTGTACCTTCATGTCTTATGGAATACCTTAGTCAAACAAGGAACAAGCTAAAGACTTATCCTGTGGTTGAAAAAGATCTACTCAATGGATTTCATCAAGACCAGTTCCCTGCGTGCTCTGATTGAGTTAACTTTCCAATGCAAGTGGAACAGCCTAATTTGGATGAGTAGAAAAGGAGTTATAGCCAAAATAGTGAAGACTGCTCCAGACGACTCTATCGAGAATCAGCGCCCAAACCGCGCAGTCCGGCTGGCCGAGGAACGAATGTTCCGCGCTCGGCCAAAGTCATATCCGTCCATCTGAATTCTCGGCCAAAGTTCGAAACCGACCGGCTGATCACATATCACGACCCGGGAAACATTGTCCCGCGGTCGGCCAAACTACAACCTCTTCACGCCACGCCGCGCACGATCATGCCGCGCGAGCCGGGGAACAAAGCCTCGCGGCCGCGCAACTCACTTCGCGTACCACGGCCGATGCATCCGTCCGAGCCAGGAAAGAACGTCCCACGTCCGGCCGAGAAACCATCGGCCAAATCTTAGTCCGGCCGATCGTGAAATCATCCGGCCACGACCGTTCCGACTCGGCCCAAGACCCGACTGTCCGGCCGATCGTCCCGACCGATTGTCCGAACGCCGCGGTCGACCAGAGGGCCCAGAAAAAGATCCACTCAATGGATTTCATCAAGACCAGTTCCCTGCGTGCTCCGATTGACTTAACTTTCCAACGCAATTGGAACGGCCTAATTTGGATGAGTAGAAACGGAGTTATAACCAAAAGAGTGAAGACTGCTCCAGACGGCTCTATCGAGAATCAGCGCCCAAACCGCGCAGACCGGCTGGCCGAGGAACGAACGTTTCACGCTCGGCCAGAATCTCATCCGTCCGTCTGAAGTCTCGGCCAAAGTCCAAAACTGTCCAGCCGAGAGAAATCATCGGCCATTCCACAATCCGTCCGAACCACACGTCCGACCGAGAGACTATCCGGCCACGACCGTTCCGGCACGACAACAACCCGACCATCCGACGGATCGTCCCAACCGACTGTCCGAACGCCGCGGTCCACCCGAAGCCCGTTTTGAAGCCCGATTTCATATTTTCAAGGCCCGGCTTAATCCTAAGCCGCCTCAAAAGACCTAGCACTATATATATATAGCTTTTTAGCCTCTTGTGAAAAGAGAGCCGCTTTGTATTTTCGATTTCCTACTCTAAGTTTAATTGCAATCATGTTTTCTTCATCTCTATGTGTGTTTGCTTTGATCATGTCTGAGTAATCCTCTAGTTAGGTTGCTAGGGTTACTATTCAATGAGTTGCTTGCATGATCTTTGATTTCGATGATTAGCTAGGGATTATATTAGAGTCTTTGTCTCGTCTTGTGCACTTAACTAATGCTGATTGCTTTACCGCGCATCTAGTAATCCGATCTTTTGTTGATTTGAGTCTCGACAGTGCTGTATCATTCGCCGGACATATTCTTTGACAAGCTAGGTTTCTTAGACTGCGAAAGTTGATCTACTATAATCTAGTGAACTGTATCAAGATCAATGGTGTCTCTGACCAAGATCAATGGTGTCTCTGAAGATGCCATCAAGCTGAGACTCTTCCTTATGTCTCTAGCTGACAAGGCTCACCAATGGGAGAAGAGCCTGCCCCATGGCACAATCACCACTTGGGATGAATGCAAGAAGGCGTTTCTTGCTAAGTTTTTCTCCACCGGCCGCACAGCCAAGCTAAGGAGTGAGATATCAAGCTTCATTCAGAGAAACAATGAAACTTTTGCTGAAGCTTGGGAGAGATTCAAGGGCTACACAAGTCAGTGCCCCCATCATGGTTTCAACAATGAATCATTGCTCTCTACTCTCTATAGAGGATGCTTGGCAAGGTATAGAGAGATGTTAGACACAGCCAGCAATGGGAACTTCCTCAATCAAGATGTGGAAGATGGCTGGCAGCTTGTGGAAAACATTGCAAACTCCAATGGAAGTTATGGAGAAGAGTATGATCGCACCAACCGGAGCTCGACCCACAACTCGATCGAGTCCGATGAGAAATTGAGAAAAGATGTCAAATCGTTGAATGAGAAATTGGCTGATATCAACTCCAAGATTGAGAATCTCAACACAAGAGTGTACTCTCTGGAGAATCATGCTTCTTCTGTTGCTGCTGCTACAAAGCAAGGACAACTACCTGGTAAAGCTATTCAGAACCCCAAGGAACAGTGCAAGGTCATCTTCACTCAAGAAGGACTTGTTGAAGAAGAGGATCAAGAGAGAGTCATGGAAGAGTTTTGTTTGCTGAATGATGAAGAGATTGTTGCTGCTGAGGCTCCTGGAGTCCAGATTGATCAACCAGAAGTGCACCTACTGTGGCCATTCACACTTCACCAGTTGAGCTCGCACAACAAGCTCGATCGGCAGCTCGATCGAGTCGACTCTAGCTCGATCGAGTCCGACTCATCTCAAACCGATTTTGCTTGATCCTTACCAACCAGTTGACCCTTCCTCGTCTCGCCTACTTAGTCAAGGTCACAAGGAAGTGATTCACAAGTTCAGAAGAGATCTCAGTGGGATTGGAATTGAGTTGCCTCCTATGGAAAGCATGAGTGAGGCATTTGATCAAATGCAAATGGTCAAGGATGTTATGGCCAACAGTGATAAAGTTTCAGAGGTCCTGAAGGAGTCTACTCATCAGTTCAACCTGCTTACTTCACCACTTTCCTACCAAAGGTGAAGGATCAAGGGAAATTCACTCTCCCTTGCACACTTGGGCATCTTGAGCTTGACAATGCCTTGGTGGATTCTGGAGCAAGCATCAATCTGATCTCTCTCTCCATGGCAGAGAAGCTAGGCATTGCTGGAGCTTGCAGCGCCCTACTACTTCAATCATGTTTGGAGATGCAACTTCTAAGTCTCCTCTTGGTGTGTTCAAGAACTATCACTTGAAAATTGGAGAATGCATCATCCAAACTGATCTCACTGTGATGGAAATGGAAGAAGAGAAGGATCTACCTCTGCTATTGGGAACCCCATTCCTTAGTACAGTTGGCGCTTCAATAGACTTTCACAAGCAAGAAGTGATCCTTCACAAGGTGAATAGTTTGGTGTCATATCGCTTGCAGCCTAGAGGTTCAGACTTTTGTGCCACAATTGAAGCACTCTCAGTTCTAAGAGCTCATGAAGCTACAAAGGTTGTGAAGGAAAGGTTGACAAAGAACCAAGAGTTGGAGAAGGATAAGGATGAGAGAGGACCAAGGATTGAGAAGCCACGTCTTGAGAGGGCTAGAGTTGAGAAACCACGTTCTGATAGACCACGAGCTGATAGACTTGTTCAAGCCCCTTGTGTGCTTGATGAAGAAAGCCTTCAAGCTTTGTTTGATGAGCCACTAGGAAGGGCTCTAAAAGAAGGGGAGGATGCAGCCTCTAAGGCACTTGTGGGATAAAAGAAAGGATCCACCAGCTCAGGCCCCTTCAGTCAAGCCATCTCAGCTCACAATGACCTTGTTCCCCACCAAGTTTGAAAATGGGAAGATTGAGTACAAGATAAGGTACAAGGGGAGATCAAGGCCATTCTCTAGAGCCAAGGCCTTGACTTCAGAACAGTCCAGGGACCCAACCAAGCTAAAGGAGCTTCTGTCTCAAGTCCTCACTATCACCCTTGATGGTGGGACTAGCTCAACCAATGCCTAAGAGGTAAAGGTCAAGCTATGGGACCTTAAACAAGCTCACTTGGGAGGAAGTCCCATGTTTATCCTTGTACATATTCTTTATGCAATTTCTATCTAGTATTTTATGTCTTAACCTTTCAAAGTTAAGTTTAGGTGACAAGAAGCCAGCTCGACCGACAGCTCGATCGAGCTAGAAACAAGGGCAACTCGATCGAGTTCCACAACTCGACCGAGGTAAGTTTTTGAATTTCAAATTTCTAACCGTTTCCTTGGTCAAGGGAGTGGGTCCCAACATGTAAATTTTGGTCCCCCACTTTCCTAAATTGATCAGAAAAACCCCTAGCTTTTGTCCCCTCTTTGAACCCTCTTTTAATCCTGATATACCTCTATTTTACATACTTTTTATGCTATTTTACTATGGTTTTCTAATGGTTTTCTAGTGGATTCTTGTGTTAAAAGGTAGTTTTTATGGATTTATACTGCAAAGAGTCATTTTAGGTAAAAAGGTGCATTATGGAGCAAAACAGAGATTTGGACTCAAACCAGTTCAATGCCACTGCATCAACTTTGGATGGAGCTAAAAAAGATCTACTCAATGGATTTCATCAAGACCAGTTCCCTGCGTGCTCTGATTGAGTTAACTTTCCAACGCAAGTGGAACGGCCTCATTTGGATGAGTAGAAAAGGAGTTATAGCCAAAAGAGTGAAGACTGTCCCGGCTCTATCGAGAACCGCGCCAAGCCGTGCAGAGCGGCCGGCCGAGGAAACGAAGTTCGGCCAAAGTTCGATTCATCCGGCCGATCACGCATCACGACCCGGGAAACAATGTCCCGCGGTCGGCCAACCACACCACTCACGACAGCCGCGCACGACCACGCCGCGCGAGCCGGGAAGCAACGCCTCGCGGCCGCGCGACGTAACTCACGTACCACGGCCGATGCGCCGTCCGAGCCGGGAAGCCACGTCCCGCGTCCGGCCGAGAAACATCGGCCAATCCTTCACCCGTCCGACCACGCCGGCCGACCGAGAAATCATCCGGCCACGACCGTTCCGATCGACCACGACCCGACTGTCCGGCCGACCGTCCCGACCGACCGTCCGAACGCCGCGGTCGACCCGAAGCCGTTTTTGAAGCCCAATCCGCACAATTCAAGCCCAAAGCCGGCGCCGACTAGCTAGATTAGGTCTAGCCGCTTTTTCATACTTAGTGCATTATAAATACTTCTTTTTAGCCTTGTAACTCAAGAAGGAGAGAGACCACAATTATTTACATCTTTAATAAAGTTTTGCTTGCTTTTACTTTGTTCTTGCTTGTTCTCTTTCTAGAGAGGATTCGAATCTCTGTTCTTATGAATATGAATTCGTGTTCCTTCTCTATGTCTGAGTAGTTTACTTGTTAAGTGATAGGAAGTCAAAGGATAGCATTCATGTATGCTTGATGATTGATCACAATTAGGGTTTTACTTATAATCTCCATCTTTGCTTATACTTAATGCTTGTTGTTAATCTGGCCAATTAGCATATGCCTTTAGGTTGATTTGAGCCTCGACAGTGCTGTATCATTCGCCTGAACTAGTATTTGGTGGGCAATCTCTTTTAGACTGCGAAAGTTGATTACTTGTAGGTTGTGAACAATTGAACTTAATCGAACTAATGCTTGATTTAATCACCTAGGGACATACCAAAAGTTTAGCGACTAGGTAGATTAACAAAGGGGTCGGAGCCTCGACAGTGGAATGATCATACCATAGTGTTTCAAGTTCTAGATTGGCACCTAATTGCAGTAACCCTAATTGATTGATTTCATGCTTCATGAATTGCTTATCTTAAGACTATCCTATTGCTTAGCCCTTTCTCTCCTATTGATTTCACTTTCTATTACTTGCATGCTTTACTTTCACTGCACTCAACCAACTTATACTTTTGCCCTAGCTCGATCTCAATCTTATAGTTGTAGTGTGCAATCTGGTCCTCGTGTTCGATACCCGTTTACTACTTCTGACCTGTGCACTTGCAGAATCAGGGATAGGAAAGGGGAAGACCTGATCCCGCGATCAAGTTTTTGGCGCCGTTGCCGGGGACCAATTCGCACCTACAAGCTTTGCAAGAGAGCTAGTCTAGGGTTTTCTTTTCCTTTTTGTTTTTGTTATTTTTCCTTTTTCTTTTGATTTGTTTTTCCTTTTTGTTTTTGAGCTTTTCAGGTTTTCCTAGTTAGATATGGAGAAGGATTCACAAGCCTCTTCCTATAAAGGCGATCCACTTCGCCACATACCACCTCAAAGAACCTCTTGGACGAACAAGAGATGTCAAGCCCTCAAGCACCACCACCTTCTTGGGATAGTCCTCCAAACTATCTCCTTGAAGACAAAGAAGAAACTTCTTCCCTACCTTGAAGCAGCCGACCTGGAGACGTCTAGCCAAGCCGCATCTTACAAGAAGAACACCTTCTAGCCACACCAGAAGAGGAGATTGACCCTGAACTGATCGAGTTCGTGAAGAGAGATCAATTCCATGATCTGTTTTCAGAGTATGCGCTGGAGCACATAGATCACTTTGACAATCTTTGTGATTCCTATGGAGTTTTTGACTTTGAGAAGAAGATGATGCTATTCAGCACATCACTAGCTGGACCAGCACTAGATTGGGCGCAGCATGAGCCGCTCTCTACAATCGAGTCATGGATCGATTTTAGAGAAGCTTTCTTGAAGAGATTTGCAAGGCTACCACCTTTCAAATCCAAGTACAATCACTACTCTCATCAGCTGGAGAGAGAGCGTGGAAGAAGAATGGGGAGGCATACCACCCCATCCTGAAGTCTGAATGAAGAGCTAATCAAGCATGTGGAGAGAACCCTTTCTACAATTCTACTTCAGAGTGTGCAAAGGAGCATCTATGCAACTTTGAGCAGCTTTGCACTACTATGGACTTGGAGAAACCCCAAGAAGATACAACTTTTCCAACTATCACTAGCTGGACAAGCCAAAGAATGGGCTAAGTTCGCCCAACATGCTTTCAAGACTTGGAATGGATACAAGGAGCTTTCCTTTACAGATTTGCTAAAGGTCCGATTTATGTTCCACCACCACGTTCACAACACCATCCATCATCACCAGACATAAACAAGACACCACTTTTCCCAAGAGAGCTATCAAGCTGCGCGCCAAACCAAGATTGAAGAGATGCTTCAAGAGTACTTGAGAAATCAAGATGAGAGTACAAAGAAGATGGAGAGGAGAATCGATTCATCCATGAACAAGAACAAATGACAAGAAAATATGAAATGGTATATACAAGGGTTGGTGTTTGGATACCTCAGTGTCCCCCAAAGAACTGGGAGACTAGGTCGTGGTCTGGAGATGGTAGACGGCCATCAGGAGCACTCCATGCAACTATGTTCGGCTCACTCGATCGAGCTTGCTCTTGACTCGATCGAGTTGTGCCTCGAGTTAGCCACTCGTCTTCCTAAAACCTGCTCCTGTGAGACTCAGCCAAGAAAAATCATAAAAATAAAAGGATAAAGTATAAATACATAAGATAGACATGGGAATTCCTCCCAAGTGAGCTTGTTTTAGGTCTCTTAGCTTGACCTTACCCCTTTTAGGCCGGGGTTGGATCTTCTAGAGGAGTGATGATCTCCTCTGTGGGGGTCATTCCTAGATATGGCTTGCATCTATGTCCATTCACTGTGAATTCCTTCCCCTCTTGATTGAGTAAAGTGAGGGACCCATAGGGTAGAACTTCGTGAATCTTGAATGGTCCCGCCCACTTTGACCTCAGCTTCCCGGGAAACAACCTTAGCTTGGAGTTATACAAGAGCACACTGTCCCCAACCTTGAAATCCTTAAGGCGAATCAGTTTGTCGTGGGCTGCCTTGGTTCTCATCTTGTAAATCCTAGAGTTCTCATAGGCATTCATTCTTATCTCCTCCAGCTCAAACAAGTTCATTACCCTCCTTTCTTGTGCTGCCTTTATATCAAAGTTCAGCATCTTTACTGCCCATAAAGCCTTATATTCGACCTCCACAGGTAAGTGGCAGTCCTTCCCATACAGCAAATTGAAAGGAGACCTTCCAATGGGGGTTTTGTAGGCTGTCTATAAGCCCAAAGT